CAACTCTGACTATACTAAACTAAAAATGCCCACGGAAATAGAACCATATACTAAAATACATCCAGTCATTAAAATGTCCGTCTCCAAACATAAACCATAATGAACCTATTGATGAAGAAATTAAGAAAGCTATTAAAAAATTAAGGAATAATAAAGCCTCACTTGACATTTAAACTGAATTTATTAAAGTTTGGAACTAGAAATGAATCTCAAAACGGAGTTTATCACGCATTAATGCACACAATAGAAACAAAAGGTTAAACCTCAAGATCCACATACATAGAGGTTATCGTAACAGGATTCATTATGGCGAGAAGTAATAATGAATCCTAATATTAACTAGGCTTTCATCGTTTTATAATACTCAACTCCTCACAACCCAGTTTGATTTTCAATCTGGTAAGTGGTGTAATGATGGCATATATGTCATCAAACAAATTCAGGAAATTGCATAACTCTCCAATAGAAAATTGTATACCTGCTATGTTGACAACAGCATTTGACCACACCAATAGAAACTTCCTCCTTCCAAGCTATGAATTCACTGAATGCGTCGATCTAATTCGAAACTTTATCGATCCACAAAATCTTGCACATCTAGCGTGGACCCCAATACGAAAACTTTTTAAACCTCATCAGGGGTATGACAAGGAAGAAATGAAAGCCCCAGTCTAGGTAATCTTTTCCTAGACTATGCCCTGCGCATTTTTACAGGAATAAATGTGAAATGGTGGGCACTGATCGTTTAAGTATTCGATACCCGTGGCAAACGCGCGTCAGTACAGACGCAAAAGAGGCTCCGAGTCGCGTGTCAAAACTAGTTTCCCCAGTTGGCAGCGGGGCAGCTTGCCATGTCTAAATTCGAACCTTTCTGCAATTTGTTCAGATCTAAGTCTGTCAGCTGTCTCATACCAATAAAAGCAACGGAAAAGACAGCAATCAGCGAGACTCACTGTCTTGCGAAGTCGTCCCTTTAGGTATTTTGTTCCTAAAGTTGCGTGCCGCACTTTCTGAGGCAGTCTTGTTTTGTTTCCTCCCATTTCTTTCCCTTCTCTACCTGTTACTATTTTACAACAATACCACATCTCAAACAAATCTGCTAATAGAAGACAACTAACCCGCTTTCCCTCCCTACTGAGCGTTCCATGAAGTAGGACTCAAAATAAACCTTTCCAACTATGATCTGGAATTGAAATGAAAGCAGTGAATTCATCATAAACATTCAGGATATGAATTTAGTAAATAGCAAGTGTAGAGGACCTGGGGGGGGCGGTGAAGATGTAAAGACACGTGCGTTTATATTTCCTGCTAGAAGGTCCAGCTATAATAGAATGTTGGACTTGGATTAAGTCCAAATGAAGATAAGGAAGACAAACAAACAAGACTGATATATATATATATATAAACAAATATATGTATTAAACAAAACATTTACAAAGTACATAGACAGTTAACATTGTGTTTGTGTGTGGACGTGTGTGTGTGTGTGCGTGTGTGTGTGAGAACGTTCGTATTTTGGAGAAGTTCATAAGAGTTCATAATGTAATCACGTGACAGAATCACAGCGCCTTGGCGAGAAACTTGACTTAGTCACGCGCTGGAAAAATATATTGTGCGTGGGTGGATTGCAACGACCACTTGTGTGTTTATTGACCAATTAGAAGCTGATATTTCCTAAAAAATATTTACTAAGCTAAGAAGGCTCTTGGGGTTCGATTCTCCCAAAAGTGCACAAAATCGATTACATGAAAATATAGCGATTATAAAATTGTCGCATAGCTGCGATTTATAAATTGTCTATTACAAAGCAGTGTTGATTTATTATCCAATGAATGCTTGTTGTTGTATAATTTGAATTTGCGTAAGTATGTATGTATGTGATGATAATCATCATTACACAAGCATTTCAAATACTTCGGTGTAAGGATCAGTCATAATAAATTTAGAATAGAAGATAAGGAAATTGAACATAGAATAGGTTGCGCTAGAGGTAGTTTCACAGCAAATTGATACAAAAACTGAAAACTTGAAGCATGATGGAGACTTTCATATGGATGACATGCATGGTGCCAAACCCGTTCATAATTATCTAAACTGTCGTCTGTATACAATAGCTTTCTCAGATCAATGGTTAGAAATATCTTTGAGCAGATGAAGAAGCCTGTGTGTCTTGGCGAAGCCTGTGTGTCTTCGAATATTGTGGACTGGCGCTACAGAATCACAAACAGAGAACTGTATCAAATAACAGGAACCACATAACTTCATGACTTTCAATAGCAACAACAGCTAAAATGGATATCAGATGTACGTCAAAGAGAAAATAAGATAATGAAGATGTTGACATTCCACACTACTTCAAACAAAATGGTAGGAATGAAACCGCCCATCAATACTAGAAGGCGCATTGACAGCTACTGGACTTGAGAAACATTTTCCTGAAAAATTCTTTTTATTGAAAGATTTTATAAATTTTAACAGACAGTATTACTGGCTGCTCGGTCAATGAATGCTGAATATTTCCTTCTGAATATTATCATTACTTGTGTTTTGCTTCGCAATAATTCTGAAGCCGCTGCGATGTTATATTGCACAACTAGAGACACGTTTTTTTGCTGTATAAGAGACTTTCCCAAATTTGCTGGCAACTGATCACCTCTGGCC